ATGCATGTATGTATCTATGTAATGTATGTAATGTGTGTAATGTATGGTAAAGTATGTATGTATGTATGTATGTAATGCAATGTAATGTAATGTATGTAATGTATGTAATGTATGTAGTGTATGTAATGTATGTAATGCATGTAATGCATGTAATGTATGTAATGTATGTAATGTATGTAATGTATGTAATGTATGTAATGTATGTAATGTATGTAATGAATGTAATGTATGTAATGTATGTAATGTATGTAATGTATGTAATGTATGTAATGTATGTAATGTATGTAATGTATGTAATGTATGTAATGTATGTAATGTATGTATTGTATGTATTGTATGTAACGTATGTAATGTATGTAATGTATGTAATGTATGTAATGTAATGTAATGTGAATGTAATTAATGTAATGTATGTAATGTATGTAATGTATGTAACGTATGTAATGTATGTAATGTATGTAATGTATGTAATGTATGTAATGTATGTAACGTATGTAATGTATGTAATGTATGTAATGTATGTAATGTATGTAATGTATGTAATGTATGTAACGTATGTAATGTATGTAATGTCTGGTATGTATGTATGTATGCATGTATGTATGTATGTGTATGTATGTTTGTATGTATGTATGTACGTACGTACGTATGTTTGTATGTATGTATGTATGTATGTGTGTGTATATGTGTTTGTATGTGTGTATGTATGTATGTATGTATGTATGTATGTGTGTGTATGTATGTATGTAATGTAATGTAATGTAGTGTAATGTAATGTAATGTATGTATGTATGTAATGTATGTAATGTATGTAATGTATGTAATGTATGTAATGTATGTAATGTATGTAATGTATGTAATGTATGTAATGTATGTCTCTATGTCTCTATGTCTCTATATCTCTATGTCTCTATGTCTCTATATCTCTATCTAGTTTGTATCTATGTATGTATGTGCATGGCAGGCCGTCTGGTTTGTCGTGGCCTCGAATGGCATCTTATCATCAGTTCAGCCAAGGCAACTTCTTTGCTCTGTAGAAATCAGCAGTGCTAGTTCGCACAATTCCTGTGGAACATGATTCTCTGTACACCTGCAGTGCTTGGAGGACTGTTTGCAGTCCTGGTTGTTTGTGAAAATGTAGCAACGGCGTAACATCAGTGTAGCAAACCCTCCCTGACAACGTAGCAACCATCTAGCATCAACGTAGCAACCCCACCCTGAAAACGTAGCAACGATCCAGCATCAACGTAGCAACACTGCCCTGAAAATGTAGCAACGATCTAGCATCAATATAGCAGCCCCTCCCGGAAAACGTAGCAACGATCTAGAATAAACGTAACAACCCCAACGTGAAAATCTAGCAACGGCGTGACATCAATGTAGCAACCGCAACGATCTAGCAATGTAGCAACGCCACCATGAAAACGTAGCAGCCACAGCACCAACCGATAGCCAGCCCACCCCAACAACGCAATTGCGCCCCCCCGAACCCGCCAAAACCCCACCCCCCCAACCCCAACCCTCCCACCCCAAACCCACCTCAACATTGTCGATAACAGCGCCAGCGAACCAGGCGGCCTGAGGGTATATATACATATAATGATATATCTGTGTGTGTGCGTGCGTGTTCCCTGTCTTGAACGATGTAGCATTCCTTCGCACCGCCGGTGCGTCATTCCACGTGATCCGCAAGGGTGAAATCAGCTTTTTGAGCTGGAAAAAGCTGGGAAAAAGCCCTGGCTTCAGACGACTGCAAAAGCACTTGGGCATCGATGTGAATCGAAACATCTTGAGGCTTGGTTCGCTCCAGCCAAGCTTTGTCCATCTTTGTCTCTGGACTTCGTCGGGATGCCCACAGTGATGGATTTTCCTTTATTTTCCCAATTATCCTGTATGGAAATTACCAAGGACTGGTCGATATTTTTCTTCCATGTATAGATATACCAGTAGTACCGCACAAGGCGGTGGCGGAAGTTTCAAAAATAACGACATTACAGGAGAGGCAAGTTGTTGTGATGCATGGATGGCAGACGGAACCCACTGATGGACTGAAAGATGGTTGGAGTTGTGTTATTTGAACTGGTTGCAATGGTTGCGGTGGTCACCTCACCCACAACTGCTGGATGTAGTGGGGTGTAGAGACGCTGTAGTTGTAGTTGTAGTGTGGCGTAGTTGCAATTGTAGTTGTAGTTGTAGTTGTAGTGCAATTAGTGTAGTGTAGTGTTGTGTAATGTAGTGTAGTTGTAGTTGTAGTTGTAGATGTAGCTGTAGCTGTAGTTGTAGTTGTAGTGCAATTAGTGTAGCGTAGTGTTGTGCAATGTAATGTAGTTGCAGTTGTAGTTGTAGATGTAGCTGTAGTTGTAGTTGTATAGTTGTAGTTGTAGTTGTAGTCTAGTGTAGTGTAATGTAATTAGCGTAATGTAATTAGTGTAATGTAACGTAGTGTATTTGTAGTGGTAGCTCTAGCTGTAGTAGTAATAGAAGTTGTAGTTGTAGCTATAGCTGTAGTGTACTTTAATTAGTGTAGTGTAGCGTAGCGTAGTGTAGTGCAATGTAATTAGTGTACTGTAGCGTAGTAAATTTGCATTTGCATTTGTATTGGTAGTGTAGTCTGGTTGTAGGTGTAGTTGTAGTTGCAGTTGTAGTTGTAGTTGTCTGTCTGTCTATTTATCTGTATATCTATCTGTCTGTCTGTCTGTCTATCTTTCTATCTATCTATCTATCTGCAAGCTTGAAAACGCAGCAATTCTGCGACACTTTCTCTTGCGAACTTGACAACATCAGAAGCGTGGCAATTCTGCGAGACTTCCTCAATTTTTGACCGTGACAACGTCAAAAACGAAGCAATTCTGCGAGACTTCCTCAATTTTCCACATTGACGACATCAAAAACGAAGCAATTGTGCGAGACTTCCTTCAAAAATAAAAAGTTGAGAGCAAAGGTGACGACCTCGTGCCAAAACGTTTTGCAACTTTTCCAGTCCATGTGTATAAAGTATTGCGCCTGCATACATACATACATACATACAAACATACAGACACATATACACACACATATACACACACATACATACATACATACATACATGCATACATACATACATACATACATACACACACATACATACATACATACATACAAACATACATACACACATACAAACACATATGCACACACATACATGCATACATACATACATACAAACATACGTACGTACGTACGTACATACACTACATTACATTACATTACATTACATTACATTACATTACATTACATACATACATACATACATACATACATACATACACTACATACACACATACACACATACATACATACATACATACATACATACAGACATACAGACAGACATACATACATACACACATACACACATACATACATACATACATACATACAGACAGACATACATACATACATACATACATGCATACATACATACATACATTACATACAGACAGACATACATACATACATACATATATACATGTATACATATATACATACATACATACATACGTACGTACATACGTACGTACATACATACATACATACAGTGCTTTGTGCAAGCTTTGTAGTACAAGGTAGTACTGGGAAGTGCCTTGTGCAAGCTTTGTAGTACACAGTAGTACTGGGAAGTGCTTTGTGCAAACTTTGTGTAAAGGAAGGAGTGTGGAGTGTAAAGTGTAGAGTGTGGGTGTGAAGTGGAAAGTGTGGAGTGTGGAGGGTGGAGTGCGGAGTGTAAAGTAGGAGTGTGGAGTGTGGAGTGGAAAGGGTGGAGTGTGGAGTGTGTAAAGTGTAGAGTGTAAAGTGTAGAGTGTAAAGTGTAGAGTGTAAAGTGTAGAGTGTAAAGTGTAGAGTGCGGAGTGTGGGGTGTAAAGTGTAGAGTGTGGAGTGTGGAGTGTGCAGTGGGTAAAGTGTGGCGTGTGGCAGGTGATGGTGGTCTCGTTGTGCTGGTGATGTTGTTGTGCTGGTGATGTTGTTGTGCTGGTGATTTCGTTGTGCTAGTGATTTCGTTTGTGCTGGTGATTTTGTTGCGCTGCTGCTGTTCGCTGGTGATTTCGTTGTGCTGGTGCTTTCGTTGCGCTGGTGCTTTCGTTGCGCTGGTGATGTCGTTGTGCTCGTGATTTCGTTGTGCTGGTGATTTTGTTGCGCTGGTGATGTTCGCTGGCGCGTTCGTTGTGCTGGTGATTTCGTTGCGCTGGTGATGTTGTTGTGCTGGTGATTTTGTTGCGCTGGTGATTTCGTTGTGATTTCATTGCGCTGGTGATGTTGTTGTGTTGGTGGTGATTTCGTTGTGATGGTGGTGATGTTGTTGTGCTGGTTAGTTGTCTCTTTGTGAACTGTTGATCAGGTGCCTTCGCTGAGACGATATCCGCGCACGATGCATGAAAAAAAGGTTCGTTTTCCTATTGCAAGGGTTTTCACTCGTAGTCCAAGAACGTGAATACATTCGGGTTCGTGGCTTCCATCTTGTTTCTGCTTACTTCTGGGACACCCTTTGTGGCTGGCTGGAACTCATAAAGCTATCCTTCGCCCCACGCCCCGCATGACTGCGGGCGCGGCACACTGCGGACGAATTGTCATTTTCTAGAAACCTCAACGGAGTTCACTGGGATGGGGATGATGATGAGGATGAGGATTGGATGATGATGATGATGATGATTAAAATTATCCCCAGAATGCGAAAATGGTTTGTGATTAGGGTTAGAGCCCACTTTCTCCAAGTCTTTTGGGGGGCCTTGCCTCAGTCCCTAAGGATCCACATGTGTTTAATCAGATTTTGGGAGTCATCCTTCCTCACAAAAAAACAGTCATCAGAGTTGTGAATGGCTCATCATGTCTTGCTTCAATGTTCATAAAAACATGGTCAAGCTCAAATTCGCCTGCCAATAGATCTGTTTTGCTGGATAGGAAAACATGTGTTTCATCATGTTTTATTGTTTCATCTGCAGTCACGAAGGGCTCGCCGGCGCCCCTCAGCTCTCAGTGGCCAGATTTTTCTCTGTGGCCATGCCTTCACTGTTGATGCGTTCTCTTCCACTTTCTTCCGATGAAGCACCCTCTGGAAGCCTGGGCCAAAGTGCTGGAACACTGGAACAGCTGGTCGAAAATCTACTTTTTATATGGGGATTTCCTGAAATGGGGGGGAACTAACCTCTCCTATAGGTTTCCTATTTTTGAAACTTCCGCCACCGCCTTGTGCGGTACTACTGGTAAACTATCTTTTTTTGGGCACCTCCATCTTGGGACACCTCCATATCTTCTTATCCGCTTTTGATCCACTTTGCGGGGTGGACAAATTTAGAAGCAAGTTAGAAACAGAATTAGAGCCTCGCGACTGTACTGGCAAAATATCACCAGCAATACAAGAATTTGGAGTGACCCATTGCACACCTGGGCCTTGAGGAAACATCAACTAATTCAATTCTGAAAGAAGTCTTGGACAACAAACATAAATTGGAAGTTGTATATATTTGTATATATGGGAACCAACGAAAAGGATAGAAAACAATTTTTGCCGCTATACTATATATTCTGCAACAATGTTAGGCGGGAGTTCACTGTTCTATACTTTTCTGTCTGTTGGAGGTTGCATGCTGAAAAAAAGAAAGGAACGGATAACCCCACAAGTCAACTTCTTCCAATAATCAGAACCAGTGATTGAAGCGATACGGAGAAGGCAGGAAAGACAGAGGAGACTGTAGAGGAACGATAAGTCCAAAGAGTTGCGTGTGAAAGAGTTGTGTGTGTGAAAGAGTTGTGCGTGAGAAAGCTGTGTGTGAAAGAATTGTGTGTGAAAGAGTTGTGTGCGACAGAGTTGTGTGTGACAAAGTTGTGTGTGTGAAAGAGTTGTGGGCGACAAAGATGCGTGTGAAAGAGCTGTGTGTGACAAAGTTGCGTGTGTTTGAAAGATTTGTGTGTGTGTCACAAAGTTGTGTGTGAAAGAGCTGTGCGTGATTAAGATGTGTGTGAAAGAGTTGTATGTGAGAAAGTAGGGTGTGACAAAGTTGTGTGTGTGTGTGAAAAAGCTGTGTGTGTGAGTAATGTTGTATCCGGATTAGCAGCTAGGTTCGCTATTGTGCCAACTTTTTCCAAATCATTCAGGGCCCCAGCAATGTTTGGAAAGTTCACTATTGTGGCAAGAAATCTTGGGAGACCACTTTGTTTTTAAAAAATGTTTGAATCAAAAAAAACATTTTTTCTGAATCGTGCCTGTCTGCCGTTCCCAAAAGAATCAGATCGCTTATTAGACCCTTATGAAAGAACAGTTTTTCCACAAATTTCCAAGACACTGGGCCATGAGACGGCCCAATTCAGTTTAGTAGGTTTGTTCTCAGGGTTCACAATTGCAGCAAACTTTTCCAGAGCTGATCCTGGAGCCAAGAGAAGAAAGGTAGGCCTTTTCCAAAAGCAATTGCAAAGTTCAAAGCGCAAGCCTTTCCCCAAAGAATCAGGCCGCTTATTAGACCCTTATTAAAGAACAGTTTTCTATAAATTTCCAAGGCGCTGGGCCACGAGAGGGACCAATTTAGTTTAGTAGGTTTGTTCTCAGGGTTCAGAATTGCAGCAAACTTTTCCAGAGCTGATCCTGGAGCCAAGAGAAGAAAGGTATGCCTTTTCCAAAAGCAATTGCAAAGTTCAAAGCGCAAGCCTTTCCCCAAAGAATCAGGCCGCTTATTAAACCCTTATTAAAGAACAGTTTTCTATAAATTTCCAAGGCGCTGGGCCACGAGAGGGACCAATTTAGTTTAGTAGGTTTGTTCTCAGGGTTCACAATTGCAGCAAACTTTGCCAGGAGCTGATCCTGGGGCCGAGAGAAGGAAGAAAAACCTTTTACAAATTTCTTTTCTCTTCCTCTTCCCCTTCCTCTTCCTCTTCCTGTTTCTCTTCCTCTTCCTCTTCTTTTCGCTCTTCCTCTTCTTTTTCCTCTTCCTCTTCCTCCTCTTCTTCCTCTTCTTCTTCCTCTTCTTTTTCCTCTTCCTCTTCCTCTCTTCTTCTCTTTCTATTTCTCTTACTACACTTTGAATAAAAAACTTAAGGTGGAACAGGTAACGCAATCAACCTGCAACAAGGTACTACAAGTACTACAAGTACTACATATATCGCAAGTTCATCAGCAAAAAAAGAATTGGATTTCAATTGTCGCCAATTGAAATCCTTAATGTCAACCCCGGATTAATAAACCATGGTTGATTAATTGGGGGGTTACTCCTCCAATAGTCATAATCTAATACTTAAATGGTACCCTCCCAAATAAACAGCCCAGGGGTGTATTAATCCATGGTCGACATTACTTAAGTACGGGATCGTATTTTTTCTGGGGAAGAATTTTTTGACAGCCAACGTTAAAGAGGGTATAGATATTGTTTGAGGGGGGTACACACTAGTCAGGACGAAACATTAAGTTGTGTGTGAGCAACGTGGATGTCTCCAAGTCCCACGCCTGCCATGCAAAGGGAACGTCGATGTCACCCAGAGCCACACCTGCCACGCAAAAGGAATGTGGATGTCGCCAAGTGCAACGCCTGCCACGCAAAGTGCCGCAGCGCCACGGGCGACTATCCGGGACCAAGCGCGCCACCAGACCCAACCCAGCACCAAAAGTGCCACGCCTGCCACGCAAAGGAAAAGTGGATGTCGTGTGTGACAAAGTTGTGTGTGTGTGTGAGAGTTGTATGTGACAAAGTTGTGTGTGAAAGATTTGTGTGTGAGAAAGTTGTGTGTGTGTGTGCGAGAAAGTTGTGTGTAAAAGTTTGTATGTGACAAAGTTGTGTGTGAAAGATTTGTGTGCGAGAAAGTTGTGTGTGTGTGTGAGAAAGCTGTACGTGAAAGATTGTATGTGACAAAGTTGTGTGTGAAAGATTTGTGTGTGAAAAAGTTGTGTGTGTGTGAAACGTCTGAATAGACGTAAAACTTCGCGACCGACTGATCTCTCTCTCTCTATATATATATATATATATCACATATTTTTATTACAGCAGGGGATCACCCGGGTCCCGGGGGGGTCGGTGATCAACGAAGACACCTCCCCGGGACCCGTGTAAACGTACCTGCTGGGCTTTGGTGGTGCACCTGGGCGCATTTAAGTCGCAGCTGTTGGCCACCATAGCCCATATATCTATCTATCTATCTACCTATCTATCTATCTATCTATCTACCTATGCATCTATGTATCTATGTATGTATGTATGTATCTATCTATCTATCTATTCTTTTCTTTTCTTTTCTATTCTTTTCTATTCTACTCACGTCTATTCTATTCTATTCTATCTATCTATCTATCTCTCTCTATCTATCTATCTATCTATCTATCTCTCTATCTCTCTATCTCTCTATCTCTCTATCTCTCTCTCTATCTCTCTCTCTCTCTATCTATCTATCTATCCATCCATCTATCTATCTATCTATCTCTAGTCTAATTGCAGGTTGCGGGATTCAGTTCCCAACGGATCACTACAATGATCCAGTTCTTGTCTTGTGTGATTTCCTTGGTGGCTCCGACATGGTGCCGTGGACCCATTTGAGGGAACCTTTCTTAAGGTGAATGTGGACCGACTTGACTTCTGAATTGACACATTTTAATGTGGTAATTCGTCTAAGTAGAGTGAAACAGCCGGCCTTTCGGTTATGCACCTTTTTTGAACGTCCTGCCGCTCCTGTTGTCCTGATGAACTTTCGGAATGTTCAACGTTGCTCCAGTGGAGCCTTGCCGAACTACCACAAACTTCCTTTTTGCCGAAGCTTTTTGCAATGCAACATGTCCATGAGGCAACAGGCATGTCCTCTTCCTGCAGGTATGGTCTGTTTGGTATTTGGTGAGGTAAAACATGCTGTGCACTTAATTCATCCGAATCTGAACAGCTGTTTAATGCCCATGTGGCCTGATCGACAACGGTCCCGTTTGAGGGAATAACGCTCGATTTTCTAGGTTTGAACTGAATCCCATTTAAAATTTTGTTGCTTCAGCTCCTCTTCACCAACTAGTTCCCCATTCTGTCCCCTATTTCATGCGTTCTTCCCTCCCCAGGTAGGTTGGGTCCTGTGCGTGCCTAGGTAAGCGTAGGTTTCGCTGTGGTAGGTTGGTTCAGGCGCTTCCGTCCTTCCCCCCCCTCCGCTGGTCTTTTTCCGTGTCCGTCGGCCTCCGCTTTTCTTTTCCCTTGCCCTTTCAGGGTTTGCCCGCTCCGGGCCAGGTGTGTTGGTGTGGGTGCTTGCTCTCTCCTCTTCTTTTGCGTTCCCCTCCTCGTGTCCCGGTTAAGTAATCTTTCATGTCATTTTCACTTTCAGCTCATCTTCATTCCCCCATTCATCCTCACCTCCACCTCATTGCATACAAACAACTCTGCCTTAGGCAGGGTGTGTGTGTGTGTGAAACGTCTGAATAGACGTAAAACTTCGCGACCGGCTCATCTCTATATTATACTAGTATATGTTTCTTTACAGCAGGGGATCACCGGGGTCCCGGGGGTGTCGGTGATCAACGAAGACACCTCCCCGGGACCCGTGTAAACGTACCTGGTGGGCTTTGGTGGTGCACCTGGGCGCATTTAAGTCGCAGCTGGTGGCCACCATAGCCCATATATATATATCTCTCTCTCTCTCTCTAGTCGAATTGCACGTCATGGGATTCAGTTCCCAACGGATCACTACAATGATCCAGTTCTTGTCTAGTGTGTGAAAGATTCGTGTGTGAAAAGTTGTGTGCGAGTGACAAAGAGAGGCGCGGAGGAGGAGGAGGAGGACGAGGAGGAGGAGGAGGAGGAGGAAGCGGATGACGGGATACAGAACCAAAAACAAGAACCCCACACAAAGATGTGGGTAATGATAGGATCCTCTCATGAACCTGAGACAATGCATTTACGAACGATGAAATCCTTTAATCAACAACTGGCGATGGTGCAACAAGCATCTAGTGCGGTAACTTAAGGTCGCATGATTTGCACAAGGAATTGTAATAAGGTATATTCCCTACAAATGTTGAGATGGTCCAATCCCTCATTGACCGATCCAGAAATGATTTCCCACAGCCAAGGAGGTACCTCACAAAAACTCTCGGATCTAGTGGCAAAAACCAGTCACGGTCCACTGCACAAATTCAAAATCAGTTTCGCCATAATCTTCAGATTCATAATTCTAGTGCAGCCTATCTTGTACTTGGGAAACTCTGATCCTAGCTCAAAGTGGCTGCCACATTCAATATCGTTACATAAAGATACTAAGATACATGACTGTATATATATATAAGATGGTTGATCAAAATTCCTTTATCTGCAAACGGCCATTCTTCGCGAATAAAAATGTTACTTTCGCGAAACTTTCGCGAACTCCACGTTTATCTTTCGCGGGGCCAATGCTGGGCAACAACGCCTCTTATGAAGATTCGTTCACCACCTGCCAAATTATGCCAGAGAATCACGGATCACTTCTTGATAGCCTTTTTAAACATGCAGCTAGCATCACGGAATCCCTTCTCCGGACAGATTGTTGCTGACTATATTTTTTTGCAAGGTTTACTGACCCCCCCTTCAACATGCACTTTGACTTTCGCCCGCTCCTTCGCAGAACTTTCGCGGAACTTTCGCGAAAATATCCCTATTCACAGACCCCGGCGCATTGAAGGAAAAGCGAACACCAGGGGCCTTGGTGTTTGGCTCTCGCAAAGCCGCACTTTTGAAAGCTTGGCTGCTGCGTTTGGAGCTTGTTTCTTGAGACTTCAAAAATCATCATTAGGCAGTGACAGCGGCAGGTGCAAGGATGCGCTTCAGGACCATGGTGTTTGGCTGTCGCGAAGCCTCACCTTTGGAAGCTCGGCTGCTACTTATGAAGGGCAAAGTGATTTTCCAAAAGCACCACCACGCAGGGAACTGAACCAGAACCAAACCGAAATTCTCCGGTGCCCTTCTCCTGCCGGACCTCAGGCGGCAGTGGGTGGCAGCCCTTTACATAATGATTATAATATCCAACTTTCGCGAAACCTTCGCGAAAAAAAATGTTACTGTCGCGAACTCGAAAAAAAACTTTCGCGAGGGTTCCCAACATAACATGAACGGTCTTCGCAATTAAAACTCTTTACAAGAACCTTTAGATCGATATGTAATATGCGTATCATTTAATAATTTGACAGGTAAGAGTTGGAACCAAACATAGCTAACCCCTCCCTCCGTTCACCACTGGAGGGCATTTTAATGTTGCGTGGTCGCCCACGCCTCTCAAGACCATGATCAAGCTCCTCCTGAATGACAGCGGGCCTCATTTCCGATGCGCTCGCCTGGTCACGTGCTAACCGAAACTGTGGGTCCGATGCGAGATAACTGAGGAATAATAATAATAAGGAATAACTAAGGAATACACATGAATAAGCCAGCTTTCCCAAGTATCATCCAATACTTGAATCCAATTGAAAGCTAAGACGGGGATATATCCAATTTTACATCCCAGTGTTTGGACTTCCCAGCTACGATGATACGCTCCTGCATGGGTAGAATGTTGACACTATCCCTGCTTTAATCCAGTCGATGCGACGTGACCTGTATATACACAGAATCATGCTGGACAAATCATCATAGCTCACGAACCTGAAATGCTATCTGTTTTGAAGATGACCCCTTACTACCATGAGTTCTTTGTCAGTTGGCTCGTCATCGTTTGCGCCAGCCATCATATAAGCTCAAGTGTTTCGAAATCACCCATTTATGCAGGAGGTGTAGCAACTGGTTCCAATGTTTTTTTGCTCAAATTGGGGTACTCACCATTGGCTTCCCTATGAACCAAATGACCTATTATAAAGACATGTATTATATTATACTTATAGATAACTAGATAGATAGATAGATAGATAGATAGATAGATAGACAGATACATAGATCGATAGATCGATAGATCGATAGATCGATAGATCGATAGAGATAGATATAAAGAATCATAAAGATAAAATCATGATAAGTCTCAATAGATTGGATAACTTGGGTTTTTGACGGTTTTTCTTCAGTCTCGGAGTTTCCTCGTCCCACGCCTCAGAAAGTTGGCCGACCACGAAAGACCCAGTAGTGCCACTGCTAGTTCCTCGGGTGAAAACGTAATCCTCGAAATCCTCCTGGCGCGTCGGAACCGTTTCGGAACCGTTTCGGAACCGTTAAGCCCCAGGCACTGGCGAAACATGTTCGAAGCAGTTTTTCTAACCGATGTAACCTGGTGATGTGTAAAATGTGTGGATTTCATTGAATTTCCGTGAGTTGAAGATAATTTTCATATGGCTTCTATACCGGGCACTGCAAAAACATTCTGATTTTGTGGATGATTTCCTCTGAAAATCATGCAAGATGAAGATCTTCCTCTGCCATCCTTCTTCACACGAGGGTATCCAAAGACAGCAATTCACAAGCGGTGGACAGCCGTTGAGCCAACTAGCTGACATCCTGGCAATGCCCTCCATGTTCAACAGACTTGGGAATCGAAAAATGCCAAAATTTCTAGTGTGTTGGTAGATGATCCACCGTCCCACATGGGATTTTCTACTGCAGGTCTATGGATCCAAAGAGTCTAAGACTATGTTTTCACCTTTTCCCTTGTGATTCATGTAGTGAGTGTCTACTTTGGTGACCATCCTGGTACAGGTAGAACCCGCGCAAGGCGGGTGGCGGAAGTTTCCTGTGAAAAGAGGTGAGAAGATTTGAGAAGAGCTGGCAAGAACTGAGAAGTTGACAATAGATGAGAAGGGCTGAGATGAGCTGAGAAAGAAGTGAGATGAGTTGAGCAGGGGTGAGAAGAGGTGGGAAGAGTTGAGAAGAGGTGGCAAGAGGTGAGAAAAGTTGAGAAGAGGTGGGCAGAGGTGAGAGTCTTTGAGAAGAGCTGGGAAGAGGTGAAAAGAGTTGAGCTGAGGTGGGAAGAGATGAAAAAAACTTTGAGAGCTGTTGAAAAGAGTTGTGAGAATTGAGAAGAGCAGAGATGGTCTGAGAAGAGCTGAAAAGGGGTGGTCACAATTGAAAAGGGGTGAAGCGAAAAGAGGAAGAAATCACAGAACAGAGTTGAGAAGCTGTGAGGGCCCGCTGCATCTCCCCTAGGCACACAGAAGCTTTTTCACACAGCAAGCTCTTACACAGAGAAGCTTTACACAGAGCAAGCTTTTACACAGAGCAAACTTTTTCACAGAGCAAGCTTTTGCACAGAGAGGCTTTTACACACAGAAGCTTTTGCACACAACAAGCTTTAACACATAGCAAACTTTTACACAGAGATTTTTTTCACACAGCAAACTCTTACACAGAGAAGCTTTACACAGAGCAAGCTTTTACACAGAGCAAAACAATAGCACAGCGTCAAGAAAGGAGAGAAAAGGTCACCTGGAAACCTCAGTTACTCTGCTGCCAAAGCACCGTTCGCAACCCTCATGCAGCTACTACAATCCTGTTTACGATTCTCAGCTGCAAAAAAAATATAGTCAGTATTCCGCATGCAGCTGCAGCAGCGAGGAACCTTGCCGCAGCCATCCCACTGCGATCTGCAAACGCTGAGGTTTAAAACACAACAGAATTACGCACCGCGGCTACAGAAATGGCAGCTCCAAAACCGGATCTCGACGCACAAACGGAAAAAACACGATTTTGAAGCACTTTTAAAAGATCTTTTTTTAAGGAAAATCATCCTCGGCAAAATGCAGAAACATCTGCTGCTTAATCACCGTTCGCAACCTTCATGCAGCGACTACAATACGATTTGCGATTCTCAGCGGCTAAACACAATAGTATTCCGCACGCAGCCGCAGCAGCGAGAAACCTTGCTGCAGCCAGTCCACTGCGATCTGCACAAACTGAATCGCTCAACACAACACAGCAGTTCCAATGCACAAAGTGTCTGCACACATGCTAATCACAATAGCACAGCATCAACCAAGAAGAGAACTAGACGACGGATGGCCCGAGAGCGTAGAGGAGCAGAGTCTTCTGTTGTTAGTATGGAGACACGCTTTTTACACACAGGCTCTTTTACACACAGACGCTTTTACACACAGACGCTTTTACACACAGATGCTTTTTAGACGCAGGCGCTTTTACACACAGAAGCTTTTACACACAGACGCTTTTACACACAGACCCTTTTACACACAGACGCTTTTACACACAGACGCTTTTTACACACAGGCTCTTTTACACACAGACGCTTTTACACACAGACGCTTTTTACACACAGGCTCTTTTACACACAGAGACTTTTACACACAGAGGCTTTTACCCGCAGAGAGAGACGCTTTTACACACAGACGCTTTTACAGAGACGCTTTTACACACAGACGCTTTTACACACAGACGCTTTTACACACAGACGCTTTTACACACAGACCCTTTTACACACAGACGCTTTTACACACAGACGCTTTTACACACAGACGCTTTTTACACACAGGCTCTTTCACACACAGAGACTTTTACACACAGAGGCTTTTACCCGCAGAGACTTTTACACACAGACGCTTTCACACAGACGCTTTTACACACAGACGCTTTTACACACAGACGCTTTTGCACACAGACACTTTTACACACAGAGGCTTTTACACACAGACGCTTTTACACACAGACGCTTTTACACACAGACGCTTTTACACACAGACGCTTTTACACACAGCTTTTACACACAGACGCTTTTACACACAGACGCTTTTACACACAGACGCTTTTACACACAGACGCTTTTACACGCAGAAGCTTTTACACACAAACACTTTTACACACAGACGCTTTACACACAGACGCTTTGACACACAGACGCTTTTACAGACAGACGCTTTTACACACAGAGACTTTTACACACAGAGACGCTTTTACACACAGAGACTTTTACACACAGACGCTTTTACACACAGACGCTTTTACACACAGAAGCTTTTACACACAGAAGCTTGTACACACAAACACTTTTACATACAAACACTTTTACACACAGAAGCTTTTACACACAGACGCTTTTACACACAGACGCTTTTACACACAGATGTTTTTACACACAGACGCTTTTACACACAGACGCTTTTACACACAAACACTTTTACACAAACACTTTTACACACAGACGCTTTTACACACAGACGCTTTTTACACACAGACGCTTTTTACACACAGACGCTTTGACACACAAACACATTTACACACAGAGGCTTTTACACACAGACGCTTTTACACACAGACGCTTTTTACACACAAACACTTTTACACACAGACGCTTTTACACACAAACGCTTTGACACACAGACAAGTCCGGCACAAGTAAAATCGCAATTTTACCTCAGTTTTTGCCGATCGACCCTCATTTCGTGCGAAAGGGTTGCTCCGGCACAAGTAAAATCGCAATTTTACCTCAGTTTTTGCAATCGACCCTCATTTCGTGCGAAAGGGTTGCTCCGGGACAAGTAAAATCGCAATTTTACCTCAGTTTTTGACGATCGACCCTCATTTCGTGCGAAAGGGTTGCTCCGGCACACGAAAAATCGCAATTTTACCTCAGTTTTTGCCGATCGACCCTAATTTTTGCGAAAGGGTTGCTCCGGCACAAGTAAACTCGCAATTTTACCTCAGTTTTTGCCGATCGACCCTCATTTCGTGCGGAAAGGGTTGCTCCAGGACAAGTCAAATCGCAATTTTACCTCAGTTTTTGCCGATCGACCCTCATTTCGTGCGAAAAGGTTGCGTTTCGTGCCGTCTCGTTGGCACTGCCCCTGCTCCCGCCTTCAGAAGAGAAATAGAAAAGAAGGAGAGAGCAAGAGGGCAAGAGGGCAAGAGGGCAAGAGGGCAAGAGGGCAAGAGGCAAGAGGGCAAGAGGGCAAGAGGAGAAGATGTGAGATGAGAAGATGTGAAGATGTGAGAAGATGTGAGAAGATGTGAGAAGATGTGAGAAGATGTGAGAAGATGTGAGTGGAGGTGTGAGAAGATGTGAGAAGATGTGAGAAGATGTGAGAAGATGTGAGAAGATGTGAGAAGATGTGAGAGATGTGAGAAGATGTGAGAAGATGTGAGAAGATGTGAGAAGATGTGAGAAGATGTGAGAAGATGTGAGAAGATGTGAGAAGATGTGAGAAGATGTGAAGATGAGAAGATGTGAAGATGAGAAGATGAGGAGATGAGAAGATGAGGAGATGAGAAGATGTGAAGATGAGAAGATGAGGAGAAGATGTGAGGATGAGAAGATGTGAAGATGAGAAGATGTGAAGATGAGAAGGTGTGAAGATGAGAAGATGTGAAGATGAGAAGATGTGAAGATGAGAAGATGAGGGATGAGGAGAAGATGTGAGGATAAGAAGATGTGAAGATGAGAAGATGTGAAGATGAGAAGATGTGAAGATGAGAAGATGTTTTACAGACCCCCACTATTGGAAGAACCCTGCGCTCAGACGCTCTCGGGAAAAAGTCACCTGGAACCCTCAGTTACAATGCGCGCGAAGTTCGAGACAGATTCCACCGCAAAGCGGCGACGCCTAACCCCGTCGCGCGCGCGAGCCAACATTTCTTCGCAGCGGAACATCCGTTTACCCGAAAAAACAGACTGTTTCGTGCAAATCCTAGCATTCAAATCGCATCCTTGATGTAGCAGTTCCAATGCGATCTGCCAACAGTGACTTGCAAAGCACTGTAAGAAAGACATTACTGAAAAACATGTCCCTTTCGAGACACCTTGACGAAGCCATCCCACTGCGATCTGCAGAGTGACTCTGAGTTGAAAAAGACAATAGAATTGCAACACACTACTGTAGAACACATCGCTGTGATGCAGAATTTCCAACGCACTCTGTACCGCAACACATGCAAACTACCATAGATTTGCAACGCACTACTGTAGAACACATCGCTTTGATGCAGCAGTTCCAATGAAACAGTCACCTGGGAGCCTCAGTTACATTGCGCGCGAAGTTTGTGACAGATTCCACGGCAAAGCGGCGACGCCTAACCCCGTCGCGCTCGCGAGCCAACATTTCTTCGCAGCGGAACATCCGTTTACCGGAAAAAACAATGTTTCGCGCAAATCCTAACATTCAAATCGTATGAACTAGCTGTTCCAATGCGATCTGCCAAAAGTCACTTGCAAAACACAATCAGGATCGCAAGACATAACTGAAAAACAAATACCCTGCGCGCAGCCTTGGCCTCTACTCTTCTCTACTTTACTCTTCTCGACTCTACTCTACTCAACCTCTACCCCGACTCTACTTGTACTCTGCTCTGCTCTACTCTACTCTTCTCTACTCTACGCTGCCTCTACTCTATTCTACTCTACTCATCGCTTCTCTTCTCTACTCCACTCTGCTATACTCTGCTCTACTCTTCTCTTCTCTACTCTAGTCTTCTCTACTCTGCTCTACTCTGCTCTACTCTACCCTTCTCTACTCTACTCGGCTCTACTCTGCTCTACTCTACTCTACCTCTACTCTGCCTCTACTCTATCTCTATCTCTATCTCTATCTCTATCTCTATCTCTATCTCTATCTCTATCTCTATCTCTCTCTCTATCTCTATCTCTACTCTGCCTCTACCTCTACCTCTACCTCTACCTCTACCTCTACCTCTACCTCGACCTCGACCTCGACCTCGACCTCGACCTCGACCTCGACCTCGACCTCGACCTCTACCTCTACCTCTACCTCTACCTCTACCTCTACCTCTACCCCTACCTCTACTCTACCTCTACTCTACCTCTACTCTGCCTCTACTCTATCTCTATCTCTATCTCTACCTCTACCTCTACCTCTACCTCTACCTCTACCTCTACCTCTACCTCTACCTCTACCTCTACCTCTACCTCTACCTCTACCTCTACCTCTACCCTACCTCTACCTCTACCTCTACTCTACCTCTACCTCTACCTCTACCCCTACCTCTACTATACCCTCTACCTCTAACCTCTACCTCTACCTCACCTCTACCTCTAACCTCTACCCTAAACCTGCTACCTCTACCTCTACTCTACCCTCCTACCTCTAACCTCTAACCCCTACCTCTACCCTCGTTCCCTCTACTTTCATTCACGCACGCGCCCACGGACACAATGATCTCTGGGCTAATGAGAATGTGACTTCATGATCTCTTAAGGCACATGCCAACTGGAAACAGTGATTTGTGGGCTAATGAGAATGTGACTTCATGATCTCTTAAGGCACATGCCAACTGGACACAATGATCTCTGGGCTAATGAGAATGTGACTTCATGATCTCTTAAGGCACATGCCAACTGGAAACAGTGATTTGTGGGCTAATGAGAATGTGACTTCATGATCTCTTAAGGCACATGCCAACTGGACACAATGATCTCTGGGCTAATGAGAATGTGACTTCATGATCTCTTAAGGCATATGCCAACTGGACACAATGATCCCTGGGCTATTGAGAATGTGACTTCATGATCTCTTAAGGCACATGCCAACTGGACACAATGATCTCTGGGCTAGTGAGAGTGTGACTTCGTGATCTCTTAAGGCACATATCAACTGGACACAATGATCTTTGGGTAAATGAGAATGTGACTTCATGATCTCTTAAGGCACATGCGAACTAGACACACAATGATTTCTGGGCTAGTGACAATGTTCACTTTCCGTAGCTCGGGGTTTCCTCTATGAAACTTCCTTTGACCAGTTCGGAGTTGGTTAGTGGTTAGTGCTTACTGAAAATCACCGCATGGTAGCCGAGTCATCCGGAAACACCAAGCAGCTCCAGGTCTTGCTTCACACCTGTGACCTACACTACCTGAAACAACTACTCAGTGGAAGTCCACCATGTTCAGATCATTTTCCTATATTTTCCTATTGCAAATGGGGGATTTCCATCAAAACATGGTGGCTCTGGTGGGATCTTCCAGTGCAGCGGCCCTTCGCCCCCCCCCCTTCGCCTTATCGAGGAGTCCCAGGTTCAACATGCTCTGCCGCACATCATCCTTTTCCACCTGACTCCAAAACGATGGGAACTGGGGACATCATGAGATATGCGGTGATCAAATTCCCCCTCAGAATTGGGGGCGAGGAGTCCCCCAACTGTCATTTCATCTGTCTTCGTGTGTGAAAAGCACGTACAGTTCCTGAATGCCCGAAATCCGGTCAGAAACACCATCATGCCATTCCAAGAAGATGTCTGGATGGATCTATGATCGATTAGATTCCCCTCTCCGGCTTGAAACATCTTGAAACGACATCATCCCTGGATCTGTCAGCTTGTGACAACACAGCACAGGTGCCAACGTTTCGGTGGCACCTTGATTTGCAGCTCGTTGGCGAGGGCATTGCTGTCCCAGCAAATAACGTTCGCCGCCTTCTTTTTGGTTTTGGCCCCGGTCGGTCTCACCTCGGATTTTGGCACGATTGTGCATTTTTTTTTGTTAGTGAAGTTCTGGTAAACCAATAGCTTTGGCTATCTTGACTACGGCAATGTGAATTGAGCTCTAGTAGGAAATGGGGTCGGTTCACGCAAGGTGCCAACCAGTTCCATCCATTACAAGCAGAAATCACTCTCAGTTCCATGGTTCGCATGTGTTCCAACCGAGGCACAGGTTTGGCTAAGACCTCCGAGTTTGATGGTGAGACATCTGCGAAGGCGTCGAGATCGTGAACTCGTGCCCCTTGCGCACTTCCCCCGCAGCCCATGTCGCTCCCCGGTGCCACCCTCGTGGAGCGAAAGGCCAACAGGGGGGCCGTGGGAGAGCCGGTTCTTCCCTCAAAAAAGAGGAGTGTAAACGTGCTGGAAACCTTTTGAGAACAAATGACCAGGACCAATTTGAGACCTTTGTCATCTCTTATGTTCTTCACTGCTTTGTTGCTCACAGCTGATAAAGGGGTGAAGAACTTGCGTGAAGACTGCTCAGGTCCCCTTTCAGCGTAGCCATGAAACGGCGATGACCAAAATCCACACATGTAGATATGGCTGTATGGTATATATATGTATGTATGGTATGGTATTGTCATCCCCGAAAGATTGGAAATTCCCTTGCTGTGATCATCCCCCGATCCGGATAAATGATCCAACTTTTGAAATGAGAAACTCCTTACATCTTTTGGAAAAGGTTTTCTCATTTAAGCTTTCATGGGGACCAAAAGTAAAAGTAACAGCGATAGGTCGTCTTCTGGAAAGCATCTGGATGTACCACTCCATCAATCCAAATGGTCAAGCTGAGTGGATTCCTCTCGTGTTTTTCCCTCGCATAGACCGATCGGTTGTTGCATACTGTGGGACATCGATTCGGATGAATACCGGAGATAGTGCTACCGGAATCGAAGTGGTACACATCTCCGGACACCATTTGGATACTTCTGACAAAAAGAAAGGATACAACGTCGATTTGTCCTATCAACAAATATTCATCGGACCTTATCAATTGACACCTCGTACTTTCATTTGGCTGACATCTCTACATCTCCTTCTATCTCCCTCTATTCTCTCTCTCTGATCTCTTCTCTCTCTCTCTGACATCTCTATGTGAATTACAAACTATTTATAGTACATTTCTGGCCCATGTTCACTCCATGTCTATCTTAAAAAAGGATGCCTTGATGAAAACATGATGAAAACATGATGAAAACATGATGAAAACATGATGAAAATCAAGCCCAAGTGCCATATTCGGCTTTCAATCCATGTCACAGTGTCATTCTTGACCAATAATATGAACATCAACGATCACGGTATACTTGGGGGTGCATCCCAGTTGGTAAATGGGTGGAAAAAACCTGTGTTATCTGGAATATCCCCACTGGATTATATGGGATGACAAAAAAGCTTTGTATTGATTATAAACATTTATAAACCACATTTTTTCCGGGTATTCATGGAATACCATACTAATGCATACCCATAGGATCCATGTATGGTATATATGCTAACATTTGGGGTATATTGATGGTAAATGTTACCATATATATAGCATACATGGATCCTATGGGATATAACTAACTATGATATAACTATGATATCACCCACTAAGCAGGGCCCTATAACGGCATCGGTCCACCGCAACCGGGCGCTCGGGCGCAAGGAGTGGCTCCAGCCGGGCGCCGCCGTGGTTTTTTCGCCACGCTCGGTGGAGCGTGGACGCCAGGAAGTGTGCAGCGTGGGACCTGGGCTGTGCAGGTCATATAGATTTCATAGAGATATTATCAATACATACATATGTGTATATGATTGTATATGTATATATGTATGCTGGTTATGCTAAGTTACATTTCTGAAACGATCATCATCATCCATGTTTTTCTAAATTGGCCGATGGCACAAAAGGGAATGGCGGAGTGGCGACCACAAAGTGCGTGACCGAAGACAGGTGGAATATGTGAGGACCGTGACTGAATACCCCAGGCTTCTGACAAGGTGTGACAGTTAGGGAAACCACACCGCGCCAACACAAGAATCCGGAGCTGGAGCTGGTGAGGAACTCCTTTGTTGGACACAAAGACTTCAAACTTGCATCATTCCCTACCAAAAAAAGATGATTTTAAACTTGAAAGGACCAGGATGGACCAATCAGATGTGGTTCCTTACCCAAGTCTTGAGCCCTTGAGGTTGGCAGCATCCCCTTGGATTTTCTCGTCCCATTGCTGATCAATTTGCCACGGATGTGACTCACGAATGAATTGCAGGAAGAACTGGGGATTCGGAACTGTGCCAAGATTTCTGGGCAAAAAAGAAAACATATCCAAATAGATTCCACAACTGGTGGGTTTCAAAGTTGGAAAAAAACAAAAACCATCTTCAGCAAACACACACATACATATTTGGTGGGTACATTATCATTGACGAAAAACTACGGATGTTTTTCCTTCAATTGTGGAAGAAAAAGATACGTTCTTCATCCCTTGGTTGTTTCATATTCTCATGCTGTCTGTTGTATGCCCCAGCACCAATGAGTTCTGGGAAACATTTCAGTGCTGAATCGGTGGTCCAACATCCCCTTCTCCAACTGGGTATGTCTGAAAATGAGGGCCAACATGGGCCAACCACCCCCCATTTTTTGCTCATAAATGCTAATAATAGCTAATCCTATAGCTAATCTATGGCCAGTTAAGGAAACGACAATTCCCAGAGTTGGGCAGCTGCACCTCGTGGGACTGTCAGTTCCTTTGGTTTTTCGCGTCGCCTGCGAGTTGTTCGTCGGAGATGTTCACAACCATATTTTGGGGACATGGAGGATCAAACCCCAGAGTTGGACTTACTATACGGTTTAGTTACTAACAATGACCAGAAGATTGGGGAATTCACACTGCATTTGGAAGTAACTAGGGGAAAAACATATAAAATTTGGAATGGTTTACCCCGCCAAGAAAAAAAACTAGCCATTATCTAAATACTTCCACAGTCACCTGTCTGGTGGATTTACTAATGGGGAAATCAAGAATCACAGTCAGCAAACACAATGCGCAATGTCAGCCCATTCCCTTGTCCGGGGGATCAAACGTCACGATGAAAGTAGATCTTCCCTCCGGCAACTCAACATGGCAATGGGAAATCGGGTGTTTGAACGTGTTTTCATGGCAAAACTCCTTTAGAAAAAAACAGGACATGTTCCATTGGTAGGTCAGGTTGAAGGTAGGTCTCCCCATTAGGCCCATTGGATACAGGTCTCCCACCGGTCATATTCAAAATCAAAATTGGAGATCCTATTGATATTGGAGATATCCTCTGGTAATTCAACATGAGTATGGAAAATTACCATTTGTAGATAATATTACCTATTAAAATTGGCGATCTTCAATAGCTGTGGCCTTGACCTGCCGTCGTCTGAGCCTTGGATCTGGCTCCGCTTCTGTCGATTTGTGTCAAAACACAATGTTTTGATGTCTATTATATGTATATAGCATGTAATTATATATGATGTATATATGATGTATATATGATGTATATATGATGTATTTATGGTGTATATATTGATGTATGTATTGATGTGAAAACGATGTAAATATGGATGTAAATACTGATGCATATATTGATGTATAAATGGTGTAAATACTGATGTATAAACTGATGTATTTACTGATGTATATATGCTGCGAATATTGATATGTCAATGATGTAAATATGAGGTTTGTATGATGTATTGAAGACGCAAATACTGCTGTATATATGATGCATATATCATGCATATATGATGTATAAATGATGCATATACTGATGAATATATGGTGTAAATATGATGTAAACATGATGTTAATATGATGTATATACTGATGTATATTATGTAAATGCTGATGTATAATATGTATATACTGATGTATTGATGTAAATATGATGTAAATATTGATGTATATATGATGTGAAAATAATGTAAGTATGGTGTGCACATGATGTATATGTGATGTAAAAGCTTTTGGCCCGGGGCTTGCCAGCTAGTTAAGCCGCCTTCAGCAGAAACCCGGGACACCGTTCTCTCTAGATGGACCTGATCATTTCAGATCAACCCCATGGGGCACAGTTCTCGCTGGTTGCCTATGTGGTGCAGTATGACAATGGCATCTTGACCTGCAAGGGCCTCTCCCCACCGCAGGACTTTAAGATTGGTGGAGCACCGGACATTCAAGCAGGGCTCTACACGATCTACGATGCGATGCGCTCTCAGGAGGACTGTGATTGCATCACTGTTCCGGGTGAGACAGAATTCCATGTTTATCAGCCCAAACGTGAATTTCAAAATGTCAACATCATTGACCTCTGTAGCGGGATGGGTGGTTTCTCCATTGGTTCCAATCTACTTGGCATGCGTACCTCTGCATTTGTAGAAAGGTCAGCACTTGCCTGTGATGCTCGGAGGGCCAATTTCACCAGCCTTGTCATTGAGGGAGATCTAGGAGACATGCAAACCTTGAAGCAACTCCATGTTCATCGAGGCAACGACTTTCTCCGAATCACGGGAGGTTTCCCTTGTCAGGGCTTTTCTTCCCAAGGTGATTAAATGGGCATGGAGGATCACAGGAGCCATAGCCTGACATACATCCTCCAGGCAGCCTGGTTTCTTCGGGCAGACTCAGTGCTTTTGGAGTGTGTGGCCAACGTGGTGAACTTTCCATGTGCTCAAGCTTGCATTGATCGAACATGCATACCACCAAGCAGGTGTTTGACCTACAAGCTCAGTGGCCAGTTCGGCGCAACAGGTATTGGTGTCATCTTCTACGTCAAGACCTACCATGCATTGACATCCCAGTTTGGCACCCTTCTCCATGCTTCCGAACCCTTGGAGACATTATGACACTTGATGCAATTGGAGTGATTTTGAGGAGCAGCAGCTTGAATGGGATCCCTGTGAACTTGCCATCTATCTGGATCCAAGCTTCGGCACTGACTCCAGAACTTTGCAAGCGGACGAGAAAGCTCCTACAGTTTTACACTCCTGGGACCATGTGAACAGGCCATGCCCATGTGGCTGCCGAGCAGCCTTTAGCATGTTACGGCTTCGACGAGGTGGAGCACGTGGCGTCGGGCTGATTTCAGCACGAAGTGGCAAGCATCGGCATCTTCACCATGAAGAGGGAGCACTCTTGTGCACGGTGCCTCCAACTTATCGATTTCCCATGCCACCAAGAGCTGCCTTGAGTTTGTTGGGGCAGATCGCTGCTCCGTTGCAGGTCCTCTGGGTACAAGCTCATATCCTTGCAGGGCTCCA